ATTAAAGAATTAATGTTTGAATTGCTACCTCATGCACCCTTTTTGCCAGATTTAGCCCCCTCGCACTTTTTTCTCTTCCTCAACTACAAAAAATGGATCCGTGGCCAAAGATTTTTTAACGATGAAGAAATAATCTCGGCAGTTAATGGCTATTTTGAGGAGCAAGACAGTTCTTATTATAAAAGGGGTATCGAACTTATTGAGCATCACTGGGAAAAGTGTATAGAGCTGAAAGGAGATTATGTTGAAAAATAAATATATTTTTTCTGAACATTTTTGTGTTTTCTTTGCTAGGTCAGGTAGTTCTGGGACCACCCTCGTATTACATATTTTTGCTTTGAATTTCTATTTCAGACGCTGCCTTCGTAGGTTTCGAAGCTTTTGCATGTTGATATGTTTTTTTATTACAACAGCTCGTGGAAAGCAACTTTGTGATTTTTGCGTCTTTTTTCATTGTGCTTTTTGTTTTGACCTGGCAAGCAATCTTTTTTCCTGTTAACCATTTTTGTAATCACTGTTACGTATGGATGTAGCTGCTGCTGCTCCGGAAGCTTCGTATATTTAGTTACACACCTACGCCGAGGTCATTGTGGTGCAACATGCGTATCAGCGATAAAGGTTACTAGCAATGCAACAACAACAGCAATTGTATAAATTGTTAGTTAATATAAATACATACATACATACTACATGGCGCGTTTTTCATTGTTGGTGAGGAGCTGGAATTACTGCAGCCATTTTTTGAATTCATTTGTTTGCGCAAGCGATGCAAATACTGCATTAGCACCTTTTACCTAGAGCGCTTTTCGCTTTTCACTTTGGTACACAACATTGCATTAGAACTTTGTAAAAACAAAACCTTAACGAGCGTGTGGAAATGGCAATGTGTAAAAACATACAGGTGGTAAGTGGTTTTGTTGTTATAAACTTGTTTCCTCCCCAAAGCAAAAGGCAGCGTAAAAGACAACAGAAAAATAGAATTTAAAAATCAAAATTTTAGAAGTTAAGAAAACACTGCTGTAGCTGAACTACTGATTTTATGAAATTTTATTCTGAAACGCTATTGTGCTGTAAAAACTCAATAATCTTTGAAGCTGCTAACAGGTCCATTCTGCGCTGGTAACAAAAAATTACTGTTGGAAAGAACCAAATACTTTTACAGATCGAGTTATTTGGATCAGGTATTTTTCAGAGTACCGAATACTTTCTTTAAGTATACACATTTTGGTAACATTTCAATTGTTAGTGTAGAAATCTAACAAGCTGGCAGTATTTTATTAAAATTAATATATGAATCCCAAATTACGTCAAATTAAGTCTATTCGACACTTAATACTGAGTACTTTGAATCAATCCTGAGTACATGAATGAAAGCGTTTATTGGAACAGAGTATTTTTGAGTACTGAGTACTTTCGAGTTCTATTTTGAGTACTGAGTACAGGGGCGGATCCAGAAAATTATTTCGGGGGAGGGGGGGGGGGGGGGGGGGGGCAGGTTCCTAAATATTTATGAACCTCATATCGATTTGTATTTTTATTAAATGAATTTTTCGCAACTATTAGAAGAATGATTTTTGTCACAATATTTAACAATGTTTTATTTTACAACATTATATCCAATCTTCTTGGTTTTTTGACATAATTTCGATAACATTTTCGTTCGTACCTTCCACGTCTCGGTGCACGTTCAACAACGCAAGCCCGTTCAATCGATCTTCGCCTGTTTTACTTCGTAGATAAGTTTTCAATCTGCGCAGAGATGAAAACGAGCGTTCGCTTGAAGCCACTGACACGGGAAGAGTTGTGCAAATTTGTAGAACCGATGTATGGATGGGTACAATTGTTTGTTGCAGTTATTGAGAGCATCAATAAATGATTTTGCTCTTTTTTCCACCGGAATCTGTGACCAATGCCTGCAAACATAAAAAGTGTATTAAGAGTGTGAATATTATGAGGGAGAGGGTAAATATCAAAAATATCAAGTTGGCTGAGAATTCACCCACAATATCATCCGCCTAATGACTGTATCTGCATTCGTATGATTGTGAAATTTCTGTGTCGCTTAATTTTATTCATTTTATTTTGTTGATTTTTGGTTGATTTTCGCTTTTAGTCATAAATTATTGTTATACTTATACATACATACATAAATATGATAGGAGCCTACAATTACATTCCATATACTCGAATATGACGAAAATTTGCGATTACAAGCTGGAGTGAACAAGAAATTGGAAAATAAAATAAAACAATTGAGTTGCACAAAAATTGCGCTATTCCGCGGACGCAGATACGGTGAATTATTGCGCAATTTGTGTTTACTGGGTATTTAATTTATTATAGATCGGGGCAATGCAAACGTTTTGAAAAGTACGTTTAAGTTTAACTATTTCTTGATATAATATAAAGAAGTATTTTCTTATACTATAAGGAAATACTTCTGAGATTTGATGAATTGAATTTAGTGTAGTAAAAACACATAAAATAATTAATTTTTATAATTTCCAATCACTTTATACATAAATTAAAGGAGTTTTCTCTCCCTGCGGATTTTTTATATTAAATGGCGGAGTTGAGCTGTCAAAAAAGTATCAAACAGCTCTTGCGAAGTTTGAATTTTCTCCTTCCAAATTTTTGGGGAAAATGCTACTTCCTGGCAGTTAACTATTGCAGGATTTCTTTCTCGGGAGAAACAAATTCCCGGAGAACAATCTTCCTGTGAGTATTCAGAATTGGGCTGTATGAAAGTGTGTATGTATGTCAAATCGAACTTTCTGATACTACTTTTAGCTATTTCCGCGGTGCTCGTATGTAGGAAATTTCACTTTCAACTGTGTACCCAGACATTTGTATGCGCATAAAAATATAATGAAAATTAAAAGTTAAATTAAAAAATTAAAAGTTTACTTCTCCAAGCGCCCTCGCTTGACTTGAATCGTGCTAGCGAAGCAGTCAATGGCACTGTGAATATTCTTCGAAATTATAGAGAAAATGCTGACACACATTTTTCTGATATATTTTCAAAAGTTGCCGATAACGCTAAGGAATTTGATTTTGACATTGGCCTTCCTCGGAGAACGAATAGACAAAATTTTCGGGCTAATTATCGTACGTCTAACGCTGAAGTTTATTATCGAAAGTCAATATTTATACCGCTATTGGATAACATTTTGCTCGATATCCGAGAAAGATTGCCGAAAAAGACATTAAACATTTTTGATTTGAACTTATTACTTCCATCTAAAATTGGGGAATATAATACGCCTGACAAAAAAAAAAATAATGCTATCGAACGCGAGCTTTTCTTAGAAAAAGACGGTATCAATTTGGAAGGAGAGTATAAAGTGTGTTTCGAAGGATGGACAAATAAGGAAAGCGAAAAGCCATTCCCAAAATCAGCAGTAGAAGTTCTTGGTAAATGCGACGAATATGCTTTTCCATTGATTAACAAACATCTCCGCATTCTGGTCACACTTCCAGTTTGTAACGCTAGAATAAGAAGAAAAACGGGAAGAAATGAATCCCCATTTGGAGGAAAATATAAGATTTCATATTTTCTTCTAAACAAAATTAGCTTTTTTATAGTATATTCGCAATGAAATGAAATAAAATAAGATATAATACCTTTTTGAGAAAACAAAATGTGTATATTGAGAAAAAATAAAAAAAAATCAACTATATTATTAGGCAAAGAATTGTTTAAGAAGTAACACTGTTTCAGCTAAGGCAGTCAATATGGCGGAATTAGAGCGAGAAGTTTCCAACCGATAACACCTTGTATTATTGCATCATGGTTGCGTGGTACCATGAATGAAGAATGACTGATAGGTCTAGCACTTTGACGTACACTTAGATATTGAAATTGACACTGAAAGGATAATAGAAAGATTCGCAAAAGGAATTGAATTTGCAATTTAAATTATTACAATAAAAATTTTGAATAAGTTGTTAAGTTACTTAATTACATCCTTCATTTTACCAACATTGTAAGCAAGAAATAAGTATTTATATGTATATATTGCATTAATAAACCCAAGGTATAACTTTACATCTTGTGTTTTTTTTAATAGTATATGCAAATTCACAAAATGAAAAGTAATATTAAATATATCACAAAACACTTTACTTCACACTTCATAAAAAATACTCGAACCTTTATTAGCATGAAAAATAAATTAGGGTTAGATGCCTGTAATTTAACGTTATTTGACAAGTTTATCCCAATATCCCAGATCAACGCGATTTGCTAGCAACCTCAAAGTTGCACTTTGTTATACTAAAATTGAATGGGCTATAAAACTACTTAGAATTTTTCTAAAAAATCTGAATATAAAGTTGCGAATTAGTATGCGAATTTATTGAAATTTCCTGAGTTTTGTACAAAGTTTCGAGTTTTTTTTTTGTTTTTTTTTGGTGTAGAAAGAAATAAACTTTTATATAAGATTATCGAAAATAAATTATGTAGAAAAAAAACTTTGCTGATATTGCGAAAAATTTACTGTGCCAATACTTTTGTCCGCCACTCTACATACATTATGGCTGAGACTATCCATACATTTGGATATCCGTTTGAATATTCTCGTATATGGGTAGAATTCGAATTAAACGAAAAAAGCTTAAGAAGAAAATCTTCTAATTCTAAGTATGTAGAATTTTATTGAAATAAATTACAGAAAATTCATACATTCAGCAAAGCGGTAGAGAACCAACTAGTACGTAGGTGTACGTATATACTTACATATATAAAAAAAGTTTAATATTAATTTGTGATACATTAAAAAATTTCATGGAATATTAGCTACAAAATACGATCTTATTTTTGCTACCTACTACGTTGGCCGCAAGCACAAAGCAAATTATAAAAAACAACTGTACAAATTCAAATAATGTAAATATTTGGTTAAACTGCTACACGGTACGCACGACCTAAGATGAAATCAGACAATATTCAGTAAAAATTTGCACGAAATTTGTATCTGTCATTCAAACTGGCGGTAAGGCTCTGTTTTAAACATTCCACAGCTTATACCATGATATGTTAAAAAAAAAACACCTTTGAGGTGGCTGACTTTGAATGCGAATAATTAAGCCAATGTCAAAAAATTTGACAGTTTAAGGCACAAAGCCGAGGTGTTATTATCGCTCGCGGGAATTTTTCAAAGTGACTTGAATCGAAATCGAAATCGCAATACAAAATATTTATACATTTCTAAAATATAAATATTTCTTAAAATTGTACAACAAAAAAGGAGTATGCTAGTGAAATACGCAAATTTTGGCCGTTTGTGTGCCGTTTTGCTGCTGCTGCAAACGTTTGTGCCACAAGCAGCAGACGCTAAGAAATCACGAGGCAAGACAGCATTTTTGGGTGAGTTGAAAAAGCTAAATTGCATATGAAAGTAAATCGTTACTTCACATAGCCGTTGGTTTAGATAGATTTTTTAATTCGAGAAAGTTTAAATTAATGCAAATTTATAAGTGATTTGGAGTGGAGTTAAACCAGTTTAAGTGTTGTGCAATTTTCAGTGTAATTTTTAAAGAGATATAGATTTTCGGGTCTCAGGCGGTTGTGGAATCGCCGCCATCTTGGAGAGAAGGCTGTATACGTTTTTCGCAGTTTACATCGTTCATTTTTTCGATAAAACTCAGGAATACTTAAGTTCTTGTTTGCGATTTTTTTTCTAGCGTCAGTATTTTGCATGTTAAAAAAAAAAAATTTGCAGGGACCCAGAACGCGTTCCAGTTTTGGTTTAGTTCTGCATGAGAACAAAATGTTATAACAAGAACGTTTCCACATAAGAACCAAACGTGAACAAAAGTTTTGAGAGCTGTTTGAACGAGAACAAAATGAGAACAAAGCTCTCAAGAAGAAAAGAATGAGAACGAAACATTGGAAACGTTTCCAATAAGAACAAATGTACCCAACACATTTTCAAGGAGGATCAAATAAGAAGAAAAGTCTGGGGAATGTTCTGCTAGAGAAAAATTATTTCGACAACAAAACGTACAGAGTCCCATAAAGATAAGGGGCGTTTCAGTGAGAACCACGATTGTTAATTCTAAGTCAGAGAAAATCAGGATCAATTCAACTTCCAGATCGTCTTATCATTTTTAGTGCACAGAAGAATTTTCGGCACATCGTACATACAATCCCGGTATACCGGCATTAGTCCCAGGATTTAGATATTCATTATTTTCCAGCAACTTAACATGAAAAAATTGCATCAATATAGTTTGAGAAGCTCTCCTACCATATTTTATTTAAAAGAAAAGACAGTAATTAAATTTAGGAATTTTTTAAACGATGCTGGGCATTTTCTTCCATATAAACAAATTGCCGAACATTCTTTGAATGGAAAAAAATGCGTGACACCTCCAGCAAAAAAATTATAATAAATCAACGTTACTGAACGTTAAAAATGTCAAAACACACCAAGCAATCAATATACTTACGACACTATGGGCTAAATACAGTGAAACTGCGTTTTTAGTTTTAGAATTTTTTACCTAGAACTTTATAATTTCAAAGATATCACAAATTGTAAAAAATTATTTAAAAAATTAATTTTAATTAATTAAAAGAGAAAATTCTGTAGGATTTAAAAAAATTAAAATTTTTCGAGTTCACAAAGACGAACAGGTATTGAAATGCCATTTTAATCAATTTTATTTTTTTAAGCCAATAAAGTTAGAAGGACAATATTTGAGGACGTTGTCGAGTTTATATTAGTCCTTAACATACAATTTTTTCAAAATAAATATTGCAAAATTTCAAGGATGTTCAAGGATACAATTTTTAAGGACATTTTCAATACCTTATGCACCAAAAAATTTGATATGTTCTTTCTCTACAGTATTATCTCTTTTATTTGATGCCCATACTGTTTTCCTAAGTACACTGCACTAAATCTTTTAAACAATTTTCTGATTTACTTATATTATTCACGTCAGAGAGAAAAGCTAAAAACGCTATTTTAATGCATATATTTGGCGCGTGACTTCGCGAATATATTGATTTTTTGTGTGTAAAATTGCCTGTCGCACGGTGTTATGTGTATGTATAATTAGTTAGGCATCCTATCCATCATTAAGTACGTACGTCTATAAGCCTTAAATTCTAATTCCATACAGCCAAGTGTTCTATTTTTTTTGGATAAGACAGATAAGTTACTAACCAACAAGTAATTGTCTACATTTTTCCCGATTAGTATTTCTGCGCTCCCTCTTCGGAGTGCCTTCA